CCCAAAATAATATACTTGACTGTAATTCCAAACAGAGTAATATCAAGACAAATTTATACATCCAGGCAGCAAGGAGCAATGATCCATTATTTGTTTTTACCAAAAGAACACCAAATGATGAATTACAGGAATAGATGCTCTGTCTCTCACATGAATTGACATTATAGTTGAAGATAGCTACAAAGAGAGGATACTTACAAGTTCCTCATCTTCTTTTTGCCTCAATGCTGTCTTTTGATGATGGAGTTGCAGCAAAAATCTCCTCTAGTCAATTTAGATCATTTCCAGATATGGCTTGAGCAGTTCAGGATCAGTCTACAAGTTTTTTAGGCACACAAAGGTCAGAATAAAAGAAAAAGGAAGAAGCTTATATAATATAGATATGTATTGGGACTTTGGGGGTTGATTTCCCATTTTCCCTGCACAAACTTGCTCTTTATGTGGTCACTTCATGCTAGGAATATGGCAATCAACAAGAATAATACAACAATTCAGTAACATTTAATTGAACAGACAAAATCACTCACTTTCCTGAATAAAGGTATACAAGAACAAAGCATTTAAAACAAGAGTTAATAGTTCCAATTTCACAACTTAACACAATGATAATAGTCCAATCAAAAGCTAAATAATTATTGATCCGCTAGTCGTCTAGCAATTTCTATCTAATCAAATAATATTATATGAACACGTCAAAACCTGATACATCTGAATTTGATATTAAATTGTATAATACACAGATATTGACAATAACAGCTCATGGCACATTAGCAGCAAAACAACTATAATAAACATTCCTAAATTCAGAGTTTTAATTGTTGTAACAATCAAAAATTCCTTTTAAACAAGAAAAAATAAACCGTGATACATCTAGTCCTAATTGACCCTTAAAGCTAAAGCCTAATTTGCAATTTGCGTCATTTTCAAAGCATCAAAAAAGTACTTGCAAAAGCATCACTGATATAAACAATAACATGAAAAATTACCGAGGTGGCAGAGCAACATTAGAAAGAATCATGATCAAATCGCCGAGTACACTGAGTTGTCATGGTTATTCATCTCCTTTCTATTGTACATCAATTGTTGTGGCTGCATTGGGTACGAAATTGGAGAGCAATTGGCTGAACGCATTCCTCTCTCTGCTAGTAGAAAGTTGCAGAGCAGGCTGGCAACAAAAAGAGATTAGGTGTTAGTGGACGCTGCAAATAATTGAGGGAACACAAATCACATGACCAAGTAAGCCACTGTGCCTTCACAACAATATTTTCTTGACTAAAGCTGTTAAGTTGCATCTTGAAGAGATGCAACTGTTTACATTTCTAAATTCACCAAAAGCAAACCAGTGGGACCAATCTTTACACCCCATTTTATCATTTCTCCCTTCTCTACCTTTGCATTACTAAACTAAACAAAGTAGTGTCATAAGATGATGCTAATTCTATAGTACTACACCACAACATGCCCAATAAAACAGAATCAAGTACCAAAACCAAATAATTTGATGAAAATATTCAAAAAAATAAAAATTTACCTTCCCAAACATCATAAAACTCTCCTCCCATGGGAGTATTACCCTAGCCGACCTCTCACAACCAAAATCCTCGCTATCAGCAGAAGCTGAAAAACTCATAGATTTCTTCCGGTCATAGAAATCTTCACTCTCACAATTCTCTATTACCAAAACATCCCCATTAACCACAGCTTTCTCAACTGCAATCTCAGCCACTAACCCATCATCGTTTGCTTCAGTAACCATCAAATTTCTCAATTTACGACTCAATTCAAACATTTTCCTCCGAATGACTTCTTCTATGCCCCCAGCCAAAGCAACAGCAGCCTCCAGCAAAACGCAGAACATTAAACCTGATAATCAAAGACAACCGTAGATCAAACAAAACTGAAATCGCAAACCCAAGATTATTGTTTATAAACCCAACAAACTAACAAATCGCAAAAAGTAAACTATCATCCAAAAAGCACAGGATGACATCAAAATCAAAACAGAATACTTATTTTAAATTTATCAAAGGAAGGATACAAAAGATGGAAAACCTCGTTCATATCGTGTGCCATGTTTTTCAAAGTGTCCAAACCTTCTGCTATCACATCCAGACCTAGATCCTAACAATATAAGAATATTTCCATATAGTAAGGATTAAAACACATGGACATGCAAGAAAGAACACAAATTCCAACTGAAAGTTTAGAGTTAGAAATGGGAGCTTTGTGCAAATTCACCTGCTTGATTTTTCTCATTTCATACTCTTGCTTAAATTGGCTGGACTGTTCAGTCTCCCGTAGTTACTCATCATCAAATCTCCCATCTACCATTTATAGAAAAAAAAACGCAATAAATTATATTAGTCCCATAAGTACTTTCAAGCGTCAACCCTAACACTAACAAACGTAGGATTACTTTCCAAAATGCAGCGCAAATAAATTCAAACACACACCTGAATCAAATTTTATCTCTTGGCGAGTAGCTGAAGAAGTCCAACCAGATGTTCAACCCCCATTCTTTTTAGCTGCAGGGGTTCCATCTGGTATGGACTGAATTCTATCAGGCTAAGCAAGGACTAAATCATTACGAGCGGAAAGTTCCTCAATTGAAAGCCCTTTCACCTGCATTACATAAGAATAACTAAATAAGCACTCAAATTGCAATGTAAAAAAGAAAAGGGAAAAAAAGAGACAAAATGCAAGATACAATGGCTTTGATTAGAATCAAAATACATTGTCTTTCACCATTCAACCACGGGCAAATCTAGGAGCGGGCTAATCCAGGCCACAACTCGCCTCATTGCCCAGAACATCTATAAAAAGTATTGAATGTGTCGTTTTACAGAAAAAATGGGTTAGCATACTTGATTCTTGTTTGATGCAATAATTCAAATCTTAATAGTGGTAGCTTTACTCGATTTGCTTCTATTGACACTAATTTCAGAGCTTTACGGATTTTTTTGGAAAATATTTTTTAATGTGATAAATAGAATACATTTTCATATTAATTAATAGTTACTTTGGCTTTTTTCCCCTATTTCTCTTCAGGAATTTTCTTCTCCTAATTCTTTGAAAAAGCTCTATAGTTTACGGCTTTACGCCCTACCCAACCTAAAAATGCTGATCCACCTATGCATTCAACCTCAAATAAATTAGCATCACATACACATAGTCAAAAATAACTTCGACGATATCAACAGAACCTTAAAACTCAACGACACTTATTCATAACATGCATTCAATCTACAAAATAAAAAAAGTATAATTCATTGTTTTTCTACCTATTTAGTCTTTCTACTGTATTTGCAAGTAGAAACTACCTACATTTCAAAGTTCCAAGTAAACATAGATCCAGCAAAATTAAGGCAAAATTGGCAATAAGTCAATCAAAATTCGGCATAAAATCAAATTCAGTGGCATCACAAACCAAAATTGAAGAAAATTACTCACCCTTTTTTGAGCCAATCACTGCAACTTAGGCACTTCTCTTCAAGTAATCAACCTTTAATTCGATGAATCTCAGCATTCAACGCCACAATTCCCCCAATTCAACAACCACAAATTCAATCAAAACCCTAAATCTAGCAAAAACAGACAATGAGAGAAGAAAGAGCAGAAACCTGATATGCAGTATCAATCAATAAACAAAGAATCATCATGTCCCATTGATGAAAGCTTAAAACTTTAAATTCCCAACACCAGATTTTATCATAATTTGACAAATTTCACACATTCCCAGTAAACCCCACAAACTAACACTTCCCCTTTCAATTCAAAATTCAATAAAAGTTCAAAACTTTATACAAGTGAATTACAAAATTCCCAATTTAACAATAAAAAACCCTAATTCCAATCAATTATCAAAACACCCCTTTATTGATCAATCAGATTATAAACAAAATACCCAAAACTTCAATCCCGAAAAAAAAAAAAAACAGAAAACCCCAGAAACATAAAATTGAACAAAAAATTTAAAACGAACTTTCTAAAATAATTAAAGCAAATCAAGTAAATCAGAAAAAAAAAACATAATACCAATGAGATGAGAAATTACCAGCTGGTTTACCATCAATTTCAACATCAAAGAACACTTTGTTGGTCACTTCCTTCGGATCTTCCAATGATTTCGTATTAGCCTGAATCAATTTCCCTAAAAATTACAAACATTGTAATACCAAACAAATAACCAAAATTATTCTTAGATCAAATCAAGATGATCCAGAAAATCATATGCCTTAAACCCCAACAAATCGAACTTAATCGATCAAAGGAAAAAACTGCAAAAAATACTCAAAAATACATCAAATAAAAAAGTTAAAATATTGTACCTGAATTGGAGATAGGGTTCCGAAGAGAACGAAACTCCATAGCCAAACGCCACGGCAAAGCTTATAAACGCAACAAACTAACAAATCGCAAAAAGTAAGTTATTATTAAGGCCTATTTTAGAAGGAAATTGCGAGCTGAACTGAGCTGAATTTCAATGTATGAGAACATGTCATAGAGCTAATCACAAATCTAGCCAAATGCCTCGGTAAAGTTAACCAACCAAGCAAAACCGAACTGTAAAACCTCAAAGTAAAAAAAAGGCAAATTACCCACCCCGCCAAATCAATCACCATAAACCCAGTTAGCGAGTAGGTACGGAAGCCAGAAACCACCAAACTCAATACTTCAATCACAAACAAATAAATAAATAAATAAAAAACCCTAGAAACGTAGATGATCATTCTGCAATAGCCGAATTTCAGTCCAATTTCAGCTGAAATTCTCAAGAGAAAATAATGGCTGAAAGAGAAAGAGTGATGGTGAGCAAAAGCAGGAAAAGGGCAAGTAAAGCAATAAAGGTCGGGGAAAAAAAATACCGAGGGTAGTATCGGGAAGATACTGTTCATAAGCTACAGTACGCTCCTTTGAACAGTAAATAGACTACTCATACTATTACGTCCGTTTTATGTGCAACGATTAGACATTTTCTCGCTCTGCTTTATATCAAATCGTTGCACTTCACCTGTAACGGAGGTCGTACGTATTTTAGGGTTTTTGGATTACAATTTTTTTTAATTTTTTTTACTCTTAAATTTAAAAAGCCAATGCCTCCCTTCTCCTTCTATCCTCATTCTACTTTTCTCAATCGCATCTCTTTTTTCTCTCGTTAGAACCAGAGATTCCAAGTTCTTCACCAAATTGAAATCCTAAAATTTTTTTCTCATTAGATTGAAGTATGAATTCAACTTCTCTGGACCTTGATATCAACTTCCCATTATTTTCAAAGAAAAACAAGAGTTTTTCCAAAAAACCTCAAAAATCACACACTGATATCCCTATACAAAACTCCCAAATACCCAATGAACAGCATCAACAAATCGAAAAGCAGACGCCGGATTGTAAGAATGAAACATCTTCTACTTCTACTTTTGCTGATTTAGGACTTTCAGAGTGGGGTATTAAAACCTGTTCAGAACTCGGAATGAAGAAACCAACTGAAGTGCAACGATATTGCATTCCTAAGATTCTCGCGGGAAATGATGTTTTAGGTATTGCAAAGACGGGGACTGGAAAAACCGCTACATTTGCCTTGCCTATCCTTCATCGATTAGCAGAAGACCCATATGGGGTTTTTGCCCTTGTTGTCACCCCCACTCGGGAATTGGCATTTCAGTTGGCTGAGCAGTTTCGTGCCCTTGGCTCATCCTTGCATATCCGTTGTGCTGTCATCATTGGCGGCATGGATATGATCACCCAGTCGAAGGCGCTGATGCAAAGGCCTCATGTGGTTATTACTACTCCGGGAAGGATTAAAGTTTTGCTTGAAGATAACCCAGATGTACCCCCAGTCTTTTCCAGAACAAAGGTAATGGTTATTACTCTATGTTTTGCTTGTTAGATGTATGGTAATTATGTCCTGGTGGGCAAGGGTAAAATAATATGACATTATGATAAACAGATATTGTTTATGCTTTTTATTTTTAGCTATGGTAGGAAAACAGAATATGTGTAATACCCGTGTTTTTTGGGTGACAATTCATTTGCGCACTTTTGTCCGCGAGTTTTTCAAAGATATCTGACATTATTTTTAATGTTTGATAAATTGTGTTTGATGATCTCTTGTTTTGGTAGCACTTTAGATACAAAATTTGTTAGTGTAATTACTTAGGTATAAAATTGGAATGTAATGTAGTTTTCCTTGTCCTAAACTATGGATGATTGTTGAGGGATTGGCCATTTGTACTTATAATCTGGCTTATGGGAAAAAAATTTTGAATGGTTTTCGCAGTTTCTTGTGTTGGACGAAGCAGATAGAGTTCTTGATGTTGGGTTTGAGGAGGAGCTAAGAGTTATATTTAAGTGCTTGCCTAAAAAACGGCAAACTTTATTATTTTCTGCAACAATGACCGATGATCTAACGGCATTGCTTGAGTTATCTTCTAACAAGGCATTCTTCTTTGAGGCACATGAAGGCCTTCACACTGTGGAGTCTCTTCGACAACAATATATTACTGTTCCTGAACATGTCAAGGATGTATATCTTCGATATATTTTATCAAAGATGGAAGATATGAGTGTTCGCTCAGTCATTATATTCTTCTCTGAATATAGGTATGTAACTAAGTTCATTTAGTAATGTTATGATACATTTATTACGTACTACCTCCGTTTCATAAATTTTGTAACAATTTCCCAAAAAGGAAACTACGCATTATGTTCAATAAATCGAAAGTTTCCTCTTTTAGTAAATTTTTTGTGTAAAATTAACATCATACTCTTACTAAATTTTACTTAACTTCAGTAAATAACATATTAACTCTTTAACTCAAATTAATTAAACCATAATTAAAACCCTAACCTACATTCTCTCTCCTCCTTCACAACCATATCCACCACCAATTTTTCTTTCTCCTCCCTCTCAACCACCACCAGCACCACTCATATCCTCTCTTCTCTCACTGCAAAGAATCAATATTGGGGAAGAGCATATTTGTCATAGTCTATTATTAGTGACTTGGGGAATAAGCTAGAGTTTGTTAAGAGGGTTTTTCTATTTATATTAGGAGGAATAATCATTATGTTCAATATTATTGAGGATTGTTATTGGGAGAGAGTGAGCCTCTCGAAAGCTCATATTAGGAGAGAATCCACCTGTCGAAAGTGGAATTATCATCCAATTTAGTTGTTATTCTCATCTTAATGCTTTAATCATCTTCTTCATCTTAATTTCTGCCATTAATAGTGTTGTAACCAAGCTAATTCCTAACACGCACCACCACCACTCAGATCCACCGCACCCACCACCACCACTCAAATCCACCGCACCATCTCTTCTCCCTCTTTTCTTTTCTCTCGTGGTAGCGCATTTCAGATCGTGGTGTTTTAGGAGGTGCATTTCAGATCGTGGTGGCGAGGTGGGGTTTCGATTCTTGATGGTGGCGAGGTGGGTGTCGATTCTTGATGGTGGTGGTGAGGTAGGCTGGGTTTTTTTTTTTTGTGGTTATGGTGCATTTGGGTTTCAGTTCTTGGTGGTGGTCCGTGAGAAGTTCGTTAAACGGTAGGTTTTTGGTGATTGTGAATTGGGTAGGGTGGGTATACGGTGGTTAGGGTGCGTGGGGGTTTCGGATCTTGTGGTGGTGAGAGGGTGGGTATAGGGTGGCAAAGGTGGTTGTGTGGTCGAATGGTCCTGCTGCTGGTGGAGTATGTGGATGTTGGCGATGGTAGGGTGGTCATTTTAGGTGCTGGGTGGACATTATGGTGGGTGGTTGGTGGGGCCAGAGGTTCTGGATGTCATTGGGTGGTTTAATCAAATCATCCCACTTTTTTTACCCTTAATTACCTACCCTTACTTTTGATAATCTACATTTGTCAAATTTTGTTTTGAGAATCGTGCAACATAGTTTGTTACAGATTTTATGAAACGGAGGTAGTACTTAGCATATCAAGATATTTGATCTTTTGGGGTTCTACATCAAAAATTCATTTTCTTGATTTGTTTGCTTATAATAACATGAACAGTAAGAGAGTGTTACAGTGAACTTGTTATTTATCTAGTATGAAAGTGAATATTGATGCTTTTCATTAGTGGTAGCTGGTATCTTCATCATTTAATTATTCTTTTTATTCTTTTCAAGAAAAATATGGTTTTCTATAGAAAAATGCTTCACTTAACAGAAACTTTTAGATTACCTCTCTAGATCCCTTTTTTTAATAAATTATTTGTTATTAAAAGCTTAGCTTGGTTCAAAGATGTAACACACCCTTTCCCACCTCCCGTGACTCTCACATACAACAGGCGCCAGAGGAGGGCAGCAGGAGCAGAACACGACAACAACAACCTTTGGCAGCAACCAGAGAAGCAGGGGACCGTTGGACCGTTGAGTAACAGAGCAGACCAGCTACTTTATGTGTTTGTTTGTAATGCACTAAATTAGAAAAAGGACAAGGAGATTACTTGTAACAATTAAGGCATTGTTGCCACTTCTAGCTTAGTAGTAGTAGTATAAATAGTTGTTGTCTAGGAAGAGAGAGGATATCCAGAAAATATTGTATTAGACCCTTTAGAGAGTCATGGCCTCAAGCCATGTTTGACGTTTACAAGCTCTCAAGCTAATCAAATTACAATGTCCTTCTATATTATTGTCGAATACACGTATTCCGTTGCAGTTGGTATCAGAGCAATCATGCCGCCGACACCATTGACCGTGACGCCGGAGAGGGTGGCGGTGCTTGAGAACGGGTGGAAGAGATTTGCGATAAGCTCGGAGAAGGCGAAAATTCACTCCAACACATGTTGCTTAAGAAGTAGGACGAGAACTTAGACAAGGTGAGGCAGTCGATGGAGGGAAAGATGGACAGATTCCGGCAGGATCTCACCCAGCACGTGGGTAAGACGGCAAGCCGACATGAGAAAGCCTTGGAAGAAATTCGCAACGCTCTTAAAGCCATGGGGAAACAACCCAACGGTGGAAACGAGCAACGGTGGAAACGAGGAAGTGGAGCAACCACTTAACATGGGTGGCTTTAACGAACAACAATTCGGTGCTGGTGGGTTCAATGGGATCTGAATTGGGAATTGGGAAGCTGGCGGCGGAGGGGGGTACTATGGTTGCCACCACGAACGACAAGAGAACCGTGGAAATTGGAAGTTCCGGAAGTTAGACATGCCGGTGTTAGACGGATTCGACCCTGATGGTTGGATACTCCGAGGCGAACAATACTTCCAATTTTACCAGTTGACGGAGGTGGAGAGGATTCAGGCGGCGGTTGTCGCCATGGACGACGATGCTTTGAGGTGGTACCAGTGGGAACACCGCCGGCGGCCCGTCATCAACTGGGAGGACTTGAAGTTGCGCGTCTTGACCCAATTTCGACCGATCAACACAAGCACCCTGCACGAGCAGTGGTTGGCCGTTACTCAGGTGACGACGGTGGTGGAGTATCTTAGAACCTTCATCGAAAGAGCAACGCCCCTGAGTGATGTGCCAGAGAGTATAATGAAGGCTCAATTCGTGAACGGACTCAGAGAAGACATATAGGCCGAGATCCGAATGCTCAACCCATTAACCCTTGAAGATGCCATGGATCTTGCGATCTGGGTCGAGGAGCGAAACCGGGTTAATGGATTGAGAAAGACGGGTGGGGCGTACCCGAAACCCAGCCAATACTCCTATTTTAATCGTAGCCCTGCTGCTACTTTAGGAATTGGGCCAGCCCATAACTCAACCTAAAATTCTCAACCCAACCCACATTCCCTTAACCAGACCACAAATTCCAGCCCACAAACACTGATCGATCCAACCCAACTCCACAAAGTTCTGCAGCCTTAGTTTCCTACCCAAACTCCACTTACTCTAACCGTAGCAACACCTCCACTTACCAGAACCGTAACAACCCCGGAGCAACCCAGTTCAGTGGCCAAGTACGGCGGCTAACTGACCGAGAAATTCAGGAGAAGAGAGCTAGAGGCCTTTGTTTAGATGTGACGGAAGGTGGACGGGTCCGACCCATGTATGCGCGGCGAAGGGACTTAGCGTCCTCTTGGTGGAAGAAGACAAGGACAGTGAAGAGGGGGAGTTAACAGTGTTGGAGAATGTCGGCGAGGACGAAGAAGTGACACCTACCGCCGTGTCTATGAATTCCATTATGGGGTTGACCAATCCCAAAACAATGAGACTTAAGGGTGAGATAAAGGGGGAGAGCGTGATAGTCATGATCGATCCCGGAGCGACTCATAATTTTATTTTGTTGCAAGCGGTGCTAAAGTTGGGGCTGGAAGTGACGGGAAGTGCGGCGTTGGTGTGTCCTTGGGAAACGGCGAAAATATTAAGGGGAAGGGGCAGTGTCGAGGAGTGAGATTGAAGCTCAATGACGAGGTGGAAATTGAGGAAGAATTCCTACCTCTGCAATTGGGTAATTACGACATCATACTTGGATTCCAGTGGTTGGAGAAGTTGGGTTCGTTCTTGACAAATTGGAAGGTGCAGGAGATGAGCTTCTCAATGGGGGGTAAGATGGTGACAGTGAAGGGTGACCCGAGTTTGGCTAAGACGGGTATTATCCTCAAGGCCATGTTCAAAACAATTAAGAAGCAAAAAGAGGGGATGTTAGTTGAATTAAATAGAGTGGAAGGGGAGCAGCCCATTAAGGCAGGAAGTGTGCCAGAATTTTTGAAGGAAGTAATCACCGAATTTGAGGGGGTTTTCAGTGAACCAAAAGGGTTGCCTTCGAGCCGAGGTCATGAGCACGCGATCGTTCTCAAAGAGGGGAGCAATCCCGTTAGCGTGCTACCATATAGATACCCCCAATTTCAAAAGGATGAAATTGAGAAATTGATCCGAGAGATGCTAATGGCCGGCATCATTCGTCCATCAACAAGCCCATTCTCGAGCCCGGTGTTGCTAGTGAAGAAAAAGGATGGTTCTTGGCAGTTTTGCGTAGATTACCGGGCCCTCAACAAGGAGACCGTCCCCGATAAATACCCAATTCCGGTGATAGACGAGTTGCTTGATGAGTTGCACGGGGCACATGTGTTCACCAAACTCGACCTTAAGGCGGGTTATCATCAAATCCTTGTGAGGCCGGAAGACACCCATAAGACGGCATTCCGAACACACGAAGGTCATTACGAGTTCTTAGTAATGCCATTCGGGTTAACGAATGCTCCGGCTACATTTCAATCGTTAATGAATGAAGTATTTCGTCCGTATTTACGCAAGTTTGTACTTGTATTTTTTGATGATATACTCGTATATAGCCCAAATGTGAGTGCGCATGTTGAGCATGTAAAATTGGTGCTTGAAGTCCTCAAAGGCCCATTCATTGTTTGCTAATATCAACAAATGTGAGTTTGGGAAACATGTGGTGGCTTACTTGGGCCACATCATCTCAAGTGAGGGAGTTTCAGTGGACCAAGATAAAATCCAAGCCATGTTGAAATGGCCCACTTCCAAATCCTTAAGAGATTTGAGGGGATTTCTTGGGCTCACTGGGTATTATAGGAAATTTATTTTCCATTATGCCCAAATTGCACAGCCCTTAACCTCTTAACTCAAAAGAGATTGTTTTGGGTGGTGTGAAGCTGCAGAACAGGCATTCATGAAATTGAAGCTCGCCAAGACCACCGCCCCTATTTTGATAATGCCGGATTTTAAAAGGGCCTTTGTGGTGGAATCCGATGCGTCGGGTATCGGGTTGGGAGCCGTACTCACGCAAGAAGGGAGACCCGTGGCATTCTATAGCAAGATGTTAGGGCCGAGTGGTCGGAGCAAATCGATCTACGAGAAAGAGCTCATGGCCGTGTGTTTGACCGTTCAAAAATGGAAACATTATCTTTTGGGTAGGAGATTCATAATTAGAAGTGATCAACAAAGTTTAAGGTTTATCACTCAACAAAGAGAAGTGGGCATGGAGTATCAACGGTGGATTCGAAAGCTAATCGGGTTCGAATTTGAAATTTAATATAAGCCGGGAGTGGCTAATCGGGTGGCAGACGCATTGTCAAGGAGGGGAGGCGATGCGACAGAGGTTGAGTATGGGACTCTAGTGGCGGTACAAGGGGTGGATTGGAGTGTTCTTGATCAGGAAATAGCCGCGGATGATTGGGTGTAGCGAATGCGGGCAGAATTTGAGAAGGGAGAGGTGCAGCCGGGGTTTACGGTGGAGGGGCGCCACTTACTGTATAAAGGGCGCGTGGTTATATCCTAGAAATCAGCCGTGAAATCTGCCCTGTTTCGGGTTTATCATGACTCCCCGGAGGGCGGCCACGAAGGTGAAACCAAAACATACTTCAAGAGTGGTATTGGGTGGGGATGAGACGCGAGATTGCAACTTGGGTCCGAGAGTGTGTGGTATGTCAGCGCAATAAGCATTCGCAAAAGTCACCGGCGGGTCTCTTACAACCACTACCCATACCGGAGAAAGTGTGGGAGATATTACGATGGACTTCATTTAGGGATTGCCAAAATCGAGGGGTATTGATACGATCTTGGTAGTGGTGGATCGTTTGTCCAAATATGCTCATTTTTTAGGACTCAAACACCCCTTCACGGCTGTGAGTGTAGCGGAGTTGTTTGTAAAGGAAATAGTGAGATTACATGGGGTGCCGAATAGCATTGTTTCGGATCGTGATAGAGTGTTTGTGAGTTCATTTTGGAGGGAGTTGTTCCGTTTGCAAGGCACAGACCTTAAGAGAAGCACCTCGTACCACCCCCAAACGGATGGGCAATCGGAGGTGGTCAACAAGAGGTTGGAGACCTACTTACGATGTTTTGCGGGTGAGCTGCCACGGTCATGGGCTAAATGGCTTCATTGGGCAGAATATTCATATAATACGGCAACACACTCATCCACTCACATTTCCCCTTTCAAGGTCCTTTATGAGAGGGATCCACCTCGTCTCTTAAGGGTGGGTCTAGGACAAACTGTGGTGGGCACGGTAGAGGAGCACTTACAGGAAAGAGATGCTATGTTGGACGAGCTTAAAATTAATTTGATCAAGGCCCAACAAGTAATGAAGGATAATGCTGATAAGAAGAGGAGGGAGGTAGAATTTCAGATTGGGGATCGTGTTTTTCTCAAGCTACAGCCATATCGACAGCGTTCGGTGGCAAAAAGACCCTTTGAAAAGCTAGCCGCGCGGTTTTATGGGCCGTTTGAAGTGGTTCAACAGGTTGGCAAGGTTGCATACAAGTTACTCTTACCGGCTGACTTTAAAATACACCCGGTGTTTCACGTTTCCCAACTGAAACTTGCACTAGGAGCTGTTCCTAGCTCGCCTAACATTCCAGCACAACTCACACCCGAATTGGAACTCGTGGTGGAGCCAGAGCATGTGTTAAGCAGCAGACCAAAGCTTTGGAAGACTGAAGGGATGGAAGTGTTGATACAATGGCAAGGGCTACCTGCTTTCGAAGCAACTTGGGAGGATGCGGAGTCCATCAAGGCACGGTTTCCTACATTCCACCTTGAGGACAAGGTGGCTGTTTTGGGGGGAGTATTGCAACACACCCACTCCCACCTCCTGTGACTCTCACATACAGCAGGCGCCAGAGGAGGGCAGCAGGAGCAGAACACCAACAACAACAACCTTTGGCAGCAACAAGAGAAGCAGGGGACCGTTGAGTAACAGAGCAGACCAGCTACTTTATGTGTTTGTTTGTAATGCACTAAATTAGAAAAAGGACAAGGAGAGTACTTGTAACAATTAATGCATTGTTGCCACTTCTAGCTTAGTAGTAGTAGTATAAATAGTTGCTGTCTAGGAAGAGAGAGGATATCCAGAAAATATTGTATTAGACCCTTTGGAGAGTCATGGCCTCAAGCCATGTTTGACGTTTACAAGCTCTCAAGCTAATCAAATTACAATCCGTCCTTCTATATTATTGTCAAATACACGTATTCCGTTGCAAAAGACTAGTTGATCTCAAAGTTAGGCATCTTGCTCTTGCAAATAGGACATGCCACCGATTGGCTTTGATGTTGGAAGAACTTGACTTCAAGGTTGCCGAGCTGAACTCAATGATACCTCAGTCTTTAAGACAAGCTTCTGTTCATCGATTTAAGTCTGGGAAAGTTCCTATATTGCTGGCTACAGGAGTTGTTGAACGTGGGCTAGATATTCCGATGGTGGATCTAGTCATACTTTATGACGTACCAAGGTTACATGCTCACACTCTATTTGGAAATTGTTATTTAATGAAGTTATACAATGTATATGCTTTATGCTAAAATGTGATGACTGCAGGGATCCTGTTGAATATGTTCATCGTGCAGGACGTACTGCAAGAGCTGGTAGAGAGGGACTTGTGCTGAGCATTGTATCAGGGGTGAGTTCTGTCTGCGCAATGATGAAACAGTTGTTTTTCTGGTGGCTTCATGTTTTTTGCTCATTATTTTTTGCAGAATGATGTGGATCTTTTACATGGAATAGAAGCAACACTGGGTAAGCAAATGGAGAAGTTTGAATGTAAAGAAAAAGAGGTGGTTGCCGATATGACCAAGGTGAGAGTGCTGATATGTGTTGCCTTGACTTACAATAGTTGAAAATAAGAGAAAAAACACTCATAAAAATAAAGAAATTGCTATTCCAACATTCTAAACACATATCAATCACCATTACTTTCTGCTCATCATATATATTACTGGTTTGATGAAATTATAGCAAATTAGCAAGGTATTAGTATTCAGTCACTTGTTTTCAATCACTATGATGTATGCCACTTGACACAACAACTACAATGAGATATGTTTTAGGAATAAATATCCGATGGATTTCAGATTATTATGTAGAATTGATAAATAATCTGCTTCATCCTTTTATAATGGCATAGTTTATCAAAATCCACTAATGAAGATATCAAACAGTGAAATATATCACTGGTTGGGGTAAGGCTGGATGCAATTGTCCTCCCTGGATCACTAATACACTTTCAGTATTTGACTTTTATGTTGATTAAAGAATTTGGAGTACTTGAATTAGATTATTAGAATTTGTCATCTTCAACTTATCTCAGACTAATATGCTTTTAATTATCGGTTATTTACTACTATATATCTTTAGTTGCACAATTATAAAAAATTAAGATTTCAGTAAGCAGAACCTACCATAGTCGCGGGTTAGTAGGAGTCAGGTTCCGGGTTAGGGGTAGATTTTTAAATTACATAGAAATTATACATTGGAATGAATCTGACTTTGTAATGTTTTTTATTATATTACTTTAAAAAAAACAGTCAAAGGTTTGTCAGTATAGTACATAAAATCACATTAGACCAGACTAATATAATTCAAAATTTTTTATGAAAATCAGACTAGATAAAAAAAAATTCAGAACAATCCAGATTAGAACTAAATAAGATTTAACTGAGTAAATTACTTCAGGTGAAGTGAACATATTCGTAATGTACTCCTAATTTCTTTCTATATTTTATCTAATTGGTTTTTTGGTTGGGAAAATTCATTAAAGGGTAATGTAATACAAACCCCCTATTTCCCTTAGTAACTGGCTGTTCTTTCTACTATTTTCCCACTTTTTCTTTTTTTGGAGTTCTTAGCAATCCTCTGCTGTAATTTTAAAATTTCCTTCTTCCTTTTGTAACTCTCTTATACTACACAACTGCACTCCAAAAGATCATAATATCATAATTTTGTACTTCCATCCTTGGCAAACAGCTCTTCCTTGCTACCTTTGGCGTCTGCCTCTTGTCACTACATCCATCGCCTCTTAAACAACCACTAGCCGCCCATCACCGATGTTGCAATCGACGCTCCTCTCACCTTTAAAAATACAGCATTACTATGCAACAACCTCACAATCAGCCTTTAGTATAGCTCAGAATTAAAAAAATTCCTCCTGCATACCTTACAAGCTGTAGGCTTCTAACTTGTCAAAAGGTAAGAAACCACCAAGAATTGCAATTTTTGTCATTGGGTGATTAACTTCACTCTAATTGTAGTCACATAGGTTGATTTAGACCATCTCGAGGTAGGGCTTTGATTATGATAAAATTTGATGAGGGATGACAGTGATCTTGGTGCCATGTAAAGGAAGTTGAGATAAGAGACCACCCTTATGGACATCTTGGAAGTTTGTAGAAATATGGCAACTGATTTTGTCCATTTTGTAAACAAAATTAATGGACCATGGAGCTTTTGGTTGAAATAGGTGGTGAGACGGAGGATGAGTTGAAGGAATTCAAAGTGAGAAAGAGATCACCTTTGTTTGTTGTGGAAGTTTGCAGAAAATGGAAAATTGATATGTGTCCCTTTAGTAAAGAAGATTAAAGAACCGCTTTCTCAATTTCTTAGGCCTCTTTTCTGATATATTTTCTTCTGTTCAATGTGAACTACTTAGCAATGGTCATGATGATTTATTGATCTACAATTGGAGATCCCCATTGCTTATTTAGGCCGATGATAGCATGCCACAAGTACTTAAAAAGTAGAGCACATGTCTTAGACACAAACAACAATAGTTATAAATATAGAACAAGGGTTTTGTCTCTGAACATCATGTAGACTTTTTATCTCACAAGTAAGAATCTTATTTTTTTTTAGGCAGATCGTGTAATTCTGATTTTATGTTTGTTTCTTTGCTAGATTTCTCTCTGCTTTATATACTCTGTATTTACTTGAGGCAGGAGTGGGTTCACCTTTTTCTTGCAAAACCTCTATGTCTTGCAGGTTACCAAGGCAAGGAGGGTCGCAAATATGAAGATGTTAGATGATGGCTTTGAGGATAGAGTGAAGGCACGCAAGAAGCAAAAACTAGCAGATAAAAACCAAAAGCGAAATAGGGCACAAGTCTTGTAGCTCAATTAGTAAACTACAATATTGGAATTGTTTTAAGATCTTGAACCCTGTAATTTATTTTTTTATTTACTAACATTGACCACAGAATTGCATTTAAGGCTAAGCTGCATTTTTGTCCAGCAGCTGTAATTTGGATTAGGAGAATGGATCGTGAATTAACATTGTTATGGAGTTCTTTATAAATAGCAAAGTTTTGGATACTATGAAACTATGGAGGTGAAGGAAAATAAGAAGGAAAATAAGAGAAGGGAAAAGGATGAAATATTTTCCATTGAGTAGCAAAACCCTTAAACCACTTGACCACCACCTGGTTACTCCGCCCACCCAATTGGAACCCATTTCTACCATATTGAAAACTCACAACACCCCTAAACCAAAACCCTAGCCCAACCTTTCATTTAGCTCAATGGAATAAAGTACTACCTTCGGTCCAAATTACTTGCAACTTTGGAATATTTTATGTCTCACAAATAATGCCCTAAAGTTGCGAGTAATTTGGACTGGAGGTAGTATACAAACACCTTTCCTTTATAGTAATCTCTTTTATGTAAGAGTCCAATGTTTAAACAACCTAAACTACCACTCAAAATTATTAATTTTAATGTAATTTTCCAATTAAAATGTCAATCAAGCTATAATTGGAAAATTAGTGGGGCTGATAAAATTAGAGGTGGGCATGGGTTGTGCTGGCTCACGGGCGTCACGAGCACAACATGGTGGTGGCACAACCTGGCATAAGCCCGCCTGCGGTACGATACGAAACGGTGACTGAGGAGTGGGTCGGGCCGTGAACACAATTTTGAAAAATCAGCACGAGCACGACATTGGTACTGCAAAACGGTTGTATTTCACGGCTTTCAACAACCATAAAAAAGGCTATAATAATAAATTAATAATAAAATTAACATAAATAATAATAAAGAGTAAAAGAACTATAATAATTAAAATAAGAATAATAAAAAGAACAATAATAATATAATAATACAAAAACATAAACATAAGTTAATAAAATTATTTAATTATACTCATTTTAAATATTGTTAAAAAAAAACTTATATATTGTAGACACCTAAAAATGTCTCTCCAAAACCAAACCCGATGATGAATAACCTTTCACCGCCATTATTGGTCGGGTTGAGTATTTTATCTTTGGAGTGCTTAAATCCAAGTTTCCATTCAATACATTTCATAAATCATTCCATTTCCTAGCTCATTTCCCTAAACCATAACTTGTTTTCCTCTTTTTGTTTCCACATTGCAAAATCAAGAGAAACTGATTTTGTTGCTTAATAATTTTGATCCAATTATTATTTTGTTGTACAAGCCTTTTAATAAGCTTTCCAACCATATATCATAAGCCCAAATCCGATTTAAAACGAAGAAGCTATGAGCAAAATACTAAACTCAGCCCAAAATCGACACCCTTATACTAAAACGGCCATATCATAAAATTTACAAATGATTTTGACCTGATTCCAATTGGGTTGGAAAATAGACTTGATAATATTTCCAATAATTACATTATATGCCTTATTCCGAGTTACTGATCAAAAGTTATGATAATTATAAAAACGCGTAAAAAACTGGAATTACCGTGCACAATGTAAAAATGTCGCGTCGCGGGAGATGATGATGTGGCACAGGCCTGGTACCGTGACACGGTATTTTTCACCGTGTCACAGTGCATTCCCACGTCTTTTTTGCGTCCCTTTTCTCACGCGCTAACGAATCAGGAACTAAACATGGAAATAAATTCCACCGTGTCACGGAAATAGCTGCCGCGCCACGGGAAATCTTGCCGCGTCACGGCACATTTTCCCGTGACACGGGATTGCTCCGTGTTTTCTCCGCATAATCCTAAACGCTTTTTATCCTCTGTAGGTTTGTTTCTATCCCGCGTCACACCAAATTACCCCGCGTCACACTAAAGTGTACCGTGTCGCGGCATGATGTTGACGTGTCGCGACAACCTTTTTTAGGGTTTTTATCCTTTTAGGGTTTTGTGTATTCCCTCTGCTCATTTTTCCTATAAATAGGACCCTCATTTCTACAGTTCGGGGCACCAAAAATCATTCTCTCTCTCCCTACACCAAAAATCATTCTCTTCTCCCTCTTTAGCCTAATTTCCAGCCTTCTTATTCTTCCATAATATTTCCCTTAAGCACTCCAAGGAGTCCATACTTAACCCGAGGTTCCGCCCTTAAACCAAGGCGTGAAAGGTATAATTAACTGAGGGTTTGGACCAAATCAACTTTACTTTTGATTTTATTTAATCTAATTTCAATTTGATTTATATTTTTTTTGAAGTTACTAACAATTTATTCATGATGTAGCAATTTAAAGGAGCGGGTGAAATGTGAGTAATTAATTTAATTACTTATTTTATTTTATATTGCTAGTATCATGATTGGGTTAATTATTATGATTTGATTTGACTAACAATTTATTGTAGAATTGCTTCCAATATTAATGTTTATTTTATTATTTTATTGATCACCATATTGCATGTTTAAAGGGAATATGTAATTGAAAATCATGGCTAATAAGATAATTTGGACGACCGGTTTAGGTTCCTTTTTAATATTGTTGTTTAATTGAGTGATCACTAATATTTTTAAATTATATGTTGCAATAATATTGAACAAATTTAGCATAATAATAGTTTGGAGCAAATTGAATATTTTGTTTGCATGCCTTTGAGATCGCAAGAATTACTTTTCACTATAAGAATCGAGTAGATGCCAATACGGTCGAATGTGACTCCATGACTCACTTCGTACCATCATCCCCGATCCTCCTTTCGTGGTTCCAAACCATATGGAATTAGTAATTTCATGGATTATGAATGGGGTGTAACCTTCACGGGTCAATCGTTGTTGTCTATCATTATCCCTTTATTCGTGGTTGCCTTAAATGATCCGTGAACGGTTTACAAGTTCCTTAAAAACTTGTTCCTTTTGTGGTTCCGAACCATATGAAGTTAGTAATTTCATGGATTATGAATGGGGTGTAACCTTCACGGGTCAATCGTTGTTGCCTATCATTGTCCCTTTATTTGTGGTTGCCTTAAATGATCCGTGAACGGTTTACAAGTTCCTTAAAAACTTATAAGCGGCTCATTACTTTGCTTGTCCCTAATCATATTATGTCAATTCCCACTTCCTATGAGTGTCAAGCATATTCACACATGCTTTAACGTAGGCTTAATTCGAGCGACGCCTTATATATATATATATATATATATATATATATATATATATATATATATATATATATATATATATATATATATATATATATATATATAAACAAGATTAAAAAGGAAACTAAACCGGTTGTCCAAATTATCTTATTAGGCGTGATTTTCAATTACATATTCCCTTTAAACATGTAATATGGTGATCATAATAAATAATAGAATAAGCATTAATATTGAAAGCAATTTAACAATAATAGCGTTAGCCAAATCAAATAATAATAATGACCCTAATCATGATACTAGCAATATTAAAATAAAATAATAGTAATTAAATTAATTAATTACTCACATTCCGCGCGTTCCTTTAAATTGCTACATTAGTAACTTCAATAAAAAAATATAAATCAAATGAAAATTAAATTAAATAAGTTTAGATTTTATTTGGTCCAAACCCTCAGTTATTTGCACCTTTCAAGCCTTGCTTTAAGGACGGAACCTCGGGTTAAGTATGTACTCCTTAGAGTGCTTCGGGGAAGAATGGTGTAATTAGGAATATAGGTTTAAGGCTTAGAATATGAGAGAGAGAGAGAGAGAGAGAGAGAAGAGAATGATTTTTGGTGTAAAAGAGAGGAAGAGAGAAGGATTTGATGCCCCGAACTATAGAAAGGAGGAGGGTATTTATAGAGGAAATGAGTAGGGGAACGCACGGAACCCTAAAAAGATAAAAAAAAAACCTAAAAAAGGTTTCCGCGACACGGCAAAGAATACCGCAACACGACAAAGAGTACCGTGACACGGGGGAAACTGGAGTGACGCGGGAAATATTTTACCTATTGGAGTAAAAACGCGTGAAGGGTTTATGCGGAAAAGACACGAGAAAATTTTGTGACACGGTAGTGTCCACCGTGGAACGGTACAATACACCTTTTCACGGTAAAAAAAAGTACGCGAAAATTACAAGGAACAGCCCCGTGTCACGGAATGGGCACCGTGACACGAGAAATTATACCGTGATGCTGTGCAAAATCCCGTGGCGCGACAATATTCCCGTGACACGGTGGATTAAAAACATGGACAAACACATCGTCACACGTTATAAATTACCGTGTCACGGCACCAGGCACTGTGCCACGTCATCAGGCGCTGTGACACGGTGCTTTTACACTGTGCGCGGTAATTCCAGGTTTTTACATGTTTTAAAAATCATCATAACTTTTGATCCGTAGCTCGAAATAAGGCATATAATATATCATTGGAAATCTTATCAAGTATAATTTTCAACCCAATTAGAATCAGGTCAAAATCATTTGTAAATTTTAAGATATGGTTGTTTTAGTAGAAGGGTGTCGGTTTTGGGCCGAGTTTAGTGTTTGGCTCATATCTTCTTCGTTTTAAATTGGAATTGGGATTATGATATATTTTTGGAAAGATTATTTCAAGGCCTATCCAAAATAAAAATTGGATCAAAATTATTAGGCCAAAAATTCAGTTTCTCTTGGTTTTGCGATGTGCACAAGAAAAGGGGAAAACAAGTTATGGTATAGGGAAATGAGCTAGGAAATGGATTGGTTTATGAAATGTATTGAATAGAATATGGATTTAATCACTCCAAAGATTAAATACTCAACCCGACCAATAATGGCAGTGAAAGGTGTTCATCATCGGGTTTGGTTTTGGGGAGACATTTTTAGGTGTCTACAGTGTTTTAAAGCCTAATTACAAAAAGTTTTCGTTAAAATATAATGTTGGAATTTTTAGTAGTAAATTAAAAATAAATTTTCTTTAAGGAATTTTAATTACCCATTGATTGGGATTAAAGTATGATGTTTTAAATATAATTTGAGCTTATTTTAATTAAATTTATGAGGGGATTAATAACAATATATATTGCTGGGAATTTGTGTAGAGAGGATTTTAATACTTTTTATTATTTTAAATTGTAGGAGACTTCGAAGTGAGTGATTTCTATTAGTCGTGGAGATATTAAGATCGTATTCAAGGT